ATAAACGACTGCTTGAGAGCACATGAGAGATTCTAAGTCAAGGAAGCAAAATAAACTAAACAAGCCCCCCCCCCAAAAAAAAATGGGAAACAAAGCCTCTGCTTTTGTTTGCCCAACCTGGGAGTGTTGGTTAGGCTCCAAGCACCAGAGACTAGGAATCCTCCTAATTGTGTGCCCTTCCTTGTCCCCATGGCTGCAGAATTCCTGTGCCCATTCATCCCAAGTGACATTAAATTCCACAATCTGGTAGACAGCTACCCCTGTGGCTCCAGGAAGAACAGACCCGGGGATGCCTTTCAGCTCCCAAACTCCCACAAGTCAGTTGAGGCCACCATGCTTGTGTACAAGCCCCCTCAATTCTCTCTCTATTCCCACTCATTTTCTGGCACAGGTTTCACCCTGTGGTAGGCATCTTTCCCACTGACTTGTGCCCCAGTTCACCAGGAGAAGGCTGCTTGCACTGGCTCTGCCCTCCCCGCGGCCCGGTGCGTGCATGCACATAGACATAGCCTCTAGACAAAGTGTAAGGGTGGGAGCTTCCTTGCAGGATGTTGGGACAGTCAGTCTTGTTACCCTGGTGATATCCGAGTCAAATAAGAATGTGGAATACAGGACAGCTCTTCTCACACAGGGAAGTCAGACTCAGGGGTGACAGACCTTGGGGTTATGTGACAAGAAAGGTCAAGGTTGCATCTCCCCCAGTCAGCTATGAAGCTTCCAAGGAAAGAATGAAGGTGCTTCGTAGGCCAAAGGCACCTGAGGGGAGCTGACAGGTGCCCTGAGAGGAACCAAAGGAAGACCCTTCCTCTTTGTCCACAGGAAGTGGTGGTCTTTTCTCAAGCTGCTGCCCAACCCTCTGTTCCGAAGCCAACAAGGGGAGGGGTGGCACTCTCGGATGCTGAAGCCTCTTTACCAGGAGGAACTTGCCCAAAGGATGCTGGCTGTGGAGGGAAACAGCAGGCAGAGGAAAGCCAGGGCAGAGGACCAGGGAGCCTCTGCCTCCACACAACTGAGTCCTAAGAGCAAAGGCTCCAAGTCCCTCATAGAGCTGGGCCAGCACCTTGTCTTTTGTGCATGGCCACCACAAACGCAAAGTCTTGACCGAGAGAAGCCTGGGTAAGAACCGTGGGCTACCCAGGGATTGGGGTTGGGGGATCCATCTGCACTGTTGAGGCAGACGGTAGAGGACAGGGGACACAGACCTAGGGAAGCCTCGTGCCCCGGGCCCCACCCATCCCGCCTTAGCCTTCTCTTCCTTTTTAGATGGTCTAAAGCAGATTCAGCCTCTTCTCACGTAGACTCACTGGTGCCCCGGCAGAGGGAAGGAAGGCAGCTGGAGCCTCTGATTCTGGAGCTCAGTGACTCGCATTTGCTTTATCCAGCAGCTCCCCGTTACCATACCCAAAGGAGGCAGGGAAAGTAGCGCCCGAGAAGGCAGGTACCAGCTACGGAGCCTTGGCTGGCTTTCCATTGCTGTGACAAATACCATACCCACAAGCCTCTTGGGAGACCAAAGGGTTTATCCCATTTTGGAGCTTACAGTCCATCATGAAGGGAAGTCAGGAGAGGAACTCATCAGGAACCTCAAGGCAGACACTGAGTTAGAGACCATGGGGAATACTGCTTGCTGGCTTGCTCCCCACGGCTGGCTCAGTCTGTTTTCTTACACAACTCAGGACCACCTGTCTAGATGTGGCACTTCCCATAGTGGGTCGGACCCTCCCACATCAATCATTAATCAAGAATATGCATCACAGGCCCCCCCGCAGGCCGTCTGATGGAGGCATCTTCTCAGTTAAAGTCCCCCTTTTTCCCAAATGACTTTATTTGGTGACAAGTTGACAAAATCCCAACCTGCACGGCAGGAGTGAGCACCTCTTCTCCTCAGTGTACCGGAGCTGCCCTGCTCTGAACCTGGTTCTTCGAGCAGGCAGCCATCAGTTCCACCTCTCCCCTGTCCACCCACTTTTCTTCTCTGTCCACTTCAGGCTTGCAGGAGTTGCCCTGGTTTCTATCTCCCTGCCCCTTAGGTGACACCCAGCCACCACAGGACTTGTAATCTGCGTTCTCCCAGCTGCTCCACTGCAGGCCCAGATCCATCCTTCACCCTTCCAGGCAGACAAAGTGCTCCTTAGGAAACACCTGTTGGAGCCAGCCTCCTTTGATACAAACCTTTTCCTTAGCGACACCCACTTAGATCTGCCCGTCCTCCTCATCTTCCTTCCTTCTCCTTATATTGTGATCTGACTGCAATCATTGGAAGTTTGAAGCCCAGACTCTTTGTCCAGGTGGCTCCCTCTCCTGGTCCTCAAAAGCTACTTGAACTAGAAAGCAGTGCACACTCATTTTCTTCAAATTCAACAAAGAAACCAATGAAAATGATGAGTGAAAATCTGGACAAAATTGTTTTCCCTCTCCAGGCATAAAGGAAATCAGAGAGATCCAATTCTTTGGTCTTTGTTTTTTTTCAAGACAGAGTTTCTCCGTGTGACATCCCTGACTGTCCTGGATCTCGCTCTGTAGGCCAGGCTGGCCTCGAACTCATAGAGATCCGCCTGCCTCTGCTTCCTGAGTACTGGGACTTCAGGCATGCGCCACCACCGCCTGGTTAACTCTCTGGTCTCACTCACAGACTTTTCCTGCTTCTCTCCTGGCAGAAGCTGTCATACTGAAGGCCTTGTCCTGCCAGGGGACAGAAGCACATGGAGATTATCTAGGCAGGGCAGAAGGGCTACTCACTTGTCAAAGACGAAGTAAACATCAAAGTCACCATCACAATACTGCATAACGTCTTCCTCGTCGTCTTCCACTTCCTCCTCAGTCTGCCTGGGTTTCCATTCTTCATCTGTATGGAACCTAGCAGGGTCCTCATCATAGGGTTTTTGGTCAGACTGAGGGTACAGGAGACTCTGGACTGCGACAAGTGGCGTAGGCGACAGTAGCAACAGCAGCAGGTGCACCGAGAGGGACACCTGGGGACTGTAGTCTTGCATTTTCTTGGCCGTGAGTCTACCAGAAATGGGGACGCTGTGCCAAAGTCTATGCAGCCTGAGTTCTAGCCACCTCTGACTTCCTTCTGTGCTGGCTCTGCCCGCACTTAGGGACAGTAGCCCCCAATAGTCCTCTCACTAATGCTCACTGCTGCTCTCCACGTGGTGGCCTCAGAACATAGGGACCAGGGGACCTAGCTGCTCTGGGGCATCCTGCCTCTCACTGCCTGCACAACCCTGCCCCCAACCCTGGGGTTATGACGGACAGGGAGGTTGACATGGTGACTTTGTGACCTGTCCCTCTGCTCAATGCCTTCATGTTGACAGTACCAAGTGGCAGTCATAGGACCTTTGCAGAGGTTTCAGATGAGGCCTCCTTGTCCCTCATCACAGCTCCTCACAGAGTTCCTTAGGGACCACCTCAAGGAACCCAGGCATGTTCTTCACTAAGAAGGTAGCAGTGAGGTTACCAGGTCACTGAGGGGGAGGAGGCTAAAGGGCCAGGAAGCCTGTGTGTGGAAAGTGTGAGGCCAATTGTGTGTCCTCAAGTAAGCCAGGCAATAGCAGGGTCTAGGAAGGGATGGAGATCGTGTTGCTGCTGCTAGCATCCTCTGTGAATGGAAATAGTCCAGTCATCCACTGTCATGTGACAAGCTGCCCGATCTTGGTGACTTAACACGGAACCATTGTATTGTGCTCACAAATTCCATGGGTCAGACCCTTGGGGAGTGTGGGGTGAGAGGTACTTGTGACAGGGCTCCAGGGAAGACTTCAGCACCTGAGCCAGGACTTGTGTGGTGGAGACTGAAAGTATCTGGAAGTTTCTTCACTGTTGCCTGTGGTACCTGGCCGGGAGGACTCCAAAGGCTCATCGGCGACTGTTCACGAAACCCTGGTATCTGTAGATATCGATGACTTGGGCCCCCTCACAGTGCGGCAGCATCATGAGGGGTAGACGTTCCTGATGGAGGCTCAGAGCTTCGAGAGAATCTGCAGGGGGCCAAGGTCAAAATGTGGAGCCCTTTATGACATCACCTATATCTGCAAGTCAGAGCTCCTGCATCAGAGGTTTAGAAACAAGGACACAACCCCCATCTCTCAGAGGACTGTGGGGGGCTTGGTCCACGACTACTCCACTGCATCACAGCATTTGCAGTGGCAGAAAAGATGTGTTAAGGGGAGACACACGTGCTTAAAAAAGGGTTCAGAGCCTTCCAACCCAGGGCAAACAAGCGTAGAAATACCCTGATCATTTTTTTCTTTTTTTATATGCACAAAATCAAATCTGATAAAATTGTTCTTTATAAATTTAAAATAGATCTTTTAATTCATATAATGTACAAATGCCTTGCAGCACACTGCATTGGACTGGTGGGCTTTTGTTAGTTTTTTTTCCAGAAATTACTTGAAATAATAGAATATCTTGAATATTTGGTGTTTTAGAAATCACGAAATTTCATCAGCACACTATTCTCTCGACTCACAACTGAGAAATGCAGCAGGGTTCAAGCAGGAGATGATTTTAGCCCAGGTGCCACTGAAGAAGCCTCCAGGCAATTCTGAGGCCTGCCTCTCAGGTCTTCCCAAGGAGCCTCATCTGAAATATACTCTGTCGTTCCCAAGGGTCCTGCCCTGCAAATATAGTAAAATGGTTGTTAAGTTCCCACGGTTGGGCAGCTTGCCACACGGCTGTGGACTGCCCTGTTCACCAAAGACTGTGGCAGGAGCATATCGCCAGCACCTGGCTGACTTAGGGGCCCACAAACAGCTCTCCATTTCCCACCCCGACTTCCTCACTGATGATGACCCATGATCTTGGCCACTTGGAAACACTGTCTCAGTTAACAAAATGTCTGGATTCCTTGGCTAGGTGAAGGACAAGGAGGCTTTATCTGACACCAAAGGCCCTGTGACTGCCACTGGTTACTGTCAGCATGCAGGACACAGAGCAGAGGGGCAGGTCACAAAGTCGCCATGTCAACCTTCCTGTCCATCACAACCCTAGAGTATTGGGGGCAGGGTTGTGCAGGCAGTGAGAGGCAGAATACCCCCAGAGCAGCTAGGTCCCCGGTCCCTACGGTCTGAGGCCACCACGTGGAGAACAGCAGTGAACATTAGCGAGAGGACATAAGGGCTATCGTCCCTAAGTTCGGGCAGAGGCAGCAGAGAAGGAAGTCAGAGGTAGCCTGTCATCCGCCTATCTGGGACCTTACAAAGACCACCATGAAAACAGTGGGATGCCCTCCAGTACCTCACTCTGTGCTCTTCCTGCTGACGTTACTTCCATCACTGCTCAGCACAGGGAACTTCCTGTACCAGTACCATGATTGGGAAAACTACCCTGGACTGGGCTTGGGCTCAAGAAATTTCCGCCACCCCACAGCCCAGAGCCTAAAGTACATGTGGCGTCGAAAGAATTCGAAGCCGCAACCATGCCAGGCCACCCCTGACATCTACTTTGTCCTGGAAAAGTGAGTGGCTTTTCCTTACAGGGGACGCTGAAGGGCCCAGTCTCTCGTCATGGTGGTCACAACCCAGTTTCTGTAACTGACTTATTTCCTGAAGATAGGGAGGCCCCCACAGTGCTTCCTGGTGGCTCTGACCACAGCATCTTACCTAGCCCATCTGGGTTTTCACTGTCCTCCAGCCATGGCTGTGAGGAGCTGACTTCTCAGCCTCGTGGGCCGCCCACTCGGGGGCTCTGCAGAGATGGTTGCTGCCACCACGTGGCCTTGGCTTAGCTATCCTAAGCAGTCAGCTTTCTCCTACACAAAGAGCCAGAGATAGCCCTTGTGCTCTTTGCCTCAGTGTGGCTCTGGGTAGGCTGGGCTAGTCCTTAGGCCCCTCTTGGCAGTCAGGGGAAGGAAGGGGTTGTGGGGCGGGGCTGGGAGAGCTAGCCTGTGTTCTCTGAACTTCCTGGTAGGCGAGGGCTGGACTTTCTGCCCATTCAACCAGGGCAGGGTTGGGAAAGCCCTGTCTGGACTCTCGTGAATGCTTGCATCTTCAAACATCCTGGGCTGCAGAGGAGATCGGGACTTCTATTTTGGAATGCACTCTTGGGTTGGCAAGGTGACCAAGTCATTTGGTGGTGGTTTAGTGACAAGACTGAGCTCTGCCCATCATTTCTGGCTTGGATCTTCTCATTTCTCTTATTCTCCTTGAACACTGGTAGGCAAGGCGACATGGGTCTAGCCCCTTGTTTCTAAGCTAGGCCAGCTACTTATGGAGCCTCTCTAGCCACTCAAAAAGAGGCCTTTTTCTCTCTACAGCCCAGGGACCCTGAAAACAATGGGCACAGCTCGTCCCTTTGATAGTTAGCACTGCCGAGGCTGGCATTTTCACTTGGGCGTCAGGGCCAATGAGGATGTGCCCTATGGGGCTGTGGGGTGACAGCCTGTCTGAACCAGTCCTTCTGTAGAGGGGTCCTCTCAGCTGCCATCCTGTTGTATTTGTCCCACCTACTTCCCTAGGGCCCCACTGTGGGGTATGAAAGGGAATGGACCCTTCTCTATGGTGGATGGAAAGGGCTCTGGGCACAGATGGGGTGTGTGAAATATTAATTATGCAGCCTGTTAATGTGCCGTGTTCACTTGCAAAGCATGCTGGTTTCCAAGTGAATGAGGGTAAATTTAATGCCCAACACTATAGAATGAGTATCACAACTCAAGGCACCTGTCGAATTCTCCACTTCTGATCCACTCCCTCAAGGCAGTTATGTGCAAGTCTAGATTTTTCCTCCTGGTATTATGGCCTTGTTTGTACTAACAGGATTGTGCTGAGTACCTTCCGTTTCTGTTTGAGGTTTATAAATCCACCATCAACTGATAACTAAAGTGCATTTGGCTTTTTCATAGCTTGGTTTTCCTGGAAGATTCTGTCATCTCCTTTCCCACCATCATGTTTATAGGACTATGATGTTTAGGTCTCAGATTTTAGCACGAAGACACCCTCAGATGCCAGGTGATCATTGTTTCATTTAAGGATCAGCATTCATACATAAATGGGTGAATGTTCTGGAAGTTCTAGGCCCCTGCATGTCATACGGTCTTTCTTCCTATTGTCCTTGAAACTTGAATTTGTCTTGAGTTCTGGAATCTAGATCCTCTTCCTATATAATCTCAAATTAAAAACTTAATTATCATTTAAACTACAATTTAACTTAAACTAAACTATAATTAAAAAAACTCAAACTTAAACTATAATTTCAAAATGAAAACTTCCAGAGTTTGTGAGCAGGGCAGATATTCTGGGTCCTTGTGAGCCTTTGTGGGAAGATACTCATCACAAAGGGCCATAACCAGGAAGCCATGTCACCTCCTGTTAGGGAAAAGGACCTGTCTTACACATTAGTCTGGGAGCTGACCAGAGCAAAGTCTGCATTGTGTTTAGTTTTTAGAGTCAAAGCTCAGTTATTCACAACTGGGACGAGGTATACCAGAAGCAATGAGCAGTGTGTGGGATTTTAGAGAGAGTTCTAGATTCACTCATAGCTTGTAAAAACTCATACTGTAAAAACTGGCTCTACCTTTCAGAGCTTTGTTTTTCCTCTGTTGTGGAGATTAGCTGCTATCATGGGATGTATCTGTAGGCGCATGGGTGCTGTAAGAATGATAGTCTTGCCAGTGTTAGGCTCATCTAACAGCGAGTTTGCCCATCATCTCTACACAGAGTTCAGCTGGGCAGAGGCGGCAGGAGAGTCTAAAGCAGGAGGCTGCTCTTTGGTGTGGAACTGTGATAGTTAATATTAGGAAACAGAGGCAAGAAGAATAAGAGTTTGAGGTCATTCTACATAACAAGTTTGAGGAGAACCTAGGATGCATGAGACTCTGTTTTTTTTTTTGTTTTTTTTTTTTTTTTAGTAAAGGACTAATTTGTTTGGTGGAAGAAATTCCAAGACAGGTTAGCATGTGGGCTGTGTCATGGTTATTGCTCACTGCTCATATCTAGGTCTCCAGAGAGAGACAGAAAAACAAACAAGCCAGCTATATATATGTATATGTATATGCATATGTGTAAAATGTGGCCTGTGGGGAAAGGAGAACATCTAAGAAGTCACAGACAAAGTGGGTGCTGTGAAAGCGGTTGGAATTGTTTTAAAGACTAGCATCTTTAAAGAAAAACCTTCTCTATACAGCAGCAATAGGAAAGGTGCCCCAGGGACAAAACGCTTCCCAGCAAAGACTGTCTTCTGAGGCATACAAATTCATCAGAAGCTGGAAGTCTACACTGAGAATCCCACTGTAGTAGTTCCTTGCTGGAAAACAACCCCTAGTAAAGTGTTTCTCTGGGATCAGCACACAGACAGATGGAACTGTGGTCTAAAGCAGCAAGGCTTTATCACAAGCTAGCAACAGAACATGGCAGCATCATCTGTGTAGAACTGGTTTGTAGGCACAAAAGATGTGAGATTTCGGCGGTCATGGGCCACGATGCTATAGTTCTAGGAAGCCATTGAGTCCAGATAATATGTGGTTGGATCAGAGTACATGAAGCTGAGGAGGTGGAATCTAAGTTTCAATGAAGACCCAAGGGGCATCTGCTGAGGAGAGCTGCAGGCACAGATTAGACCTGGAAGAGAAGCCATGTGTGTTGAAGGTAGCAGTGGACCAGGGCTACCCAAGAGATGCTATCAAGACCCCAGATGCTGGACATGATGTTTGCCCTGCTTGGTTTTAAAGCTTTGCTTTCGTCTGATCTTTCCTTGCTATGTCTCCATTCCTCCTTTTTGGAGTAGAAGATCTTTACTCTGTGCTAGTGTATGTTAGAAACACGTGATTTGCTTTTGGGTGTTATTGGAGCTCACTGCTTGAGATTCTGAAAAGATTATGCGCCTGTACTTTTGAGCAATGTTGGGACTGTTATAAGACTGCAGGGACTTTTGAAGGTAGACTGTCTTCTGAGACAGCCATGAGCTGACAAGGAAAGGGACTTTTGTTGGCTTTAGTGTCAAGTTGACAGGAGTGGACATGTGGTGGTTAACATTACCAACTTGACAGGATCCAGGGTTGCTGAGGAGACACATTTTTGGACATGTATATGACAGAGTTTCTGTGTTGGGCTACCTGAAGTGGGAAGACCCGTGGTAAATGTGGGCAACATGGTTCCATGGGGCTGGAGTCTCAGGCTGAACATTGTTTGTTTTCTTCTTTTTCTTTTTCTTTTTCTCCTTCTCCTTCTCCTTATTCTTATTCTTATTTTTATTCTTATTCTTTCTCCTCCTCCTCCTCCTTTGGCTTCTTTTGCAACAATTTCTCTGTGAAGCAGCCCTGGCTGTCCTGGAACTCACTCTGTACACCAGGCTGGCCTCAAACTCACAGAGATCTGCCCATCTCTGCTTCCTGAGTGCTGGGATTAAAGGTGTGGACCACCGCCACCAGGCTCTCTTTGCTCTTGGACTACAGATGCGGTAGGTCTAACTGCCTCAAATTCCTGCTCCTATGACTTGTCCACTGTGCTGTCAAGCTGCAAGTCCAAATTAGCTTTTCTTGCCTTAAGTGGCTTTTGTCAGATGTTTTGTCAGAGTGAAAAGAAAAGTGACTAAGTCAGTGACAATTACACATATGAACATAGCCTTCAGGGAGGTCACGTTCATGGGCACAAGCATCACTGGAGGTGAGATGCTTCTGTCAGCAGGAGCTTCTGACTCATAGCATTCAAAACACATGAGCCAACAAAACCCAGATGCCAACAAAATGCCAGCCTCAGGTTCACTCCAAACCACCATTCAGAGTTCAGAAGGAAGAGATAACCATTGAACTCTCCTCCATCTACCCTATACCTGAAGTCCTTTTTGTCTCTTCCTTGATGTGAAGACCAGCAAAGCTGTGGATTACAGAGCCCTTTGTTTGGGGGGTGTGGGTCAGAGGTGAATTCTACTAGATGGAAGGTCACAGAGCCCACTTCCTTCACCTGCTTGCTTTCCATCTGGGGACTGAGAGGGAGAAAAACTGGGAACGGGGATTTGAGAGTCAGAACTGGAAGATTCCCACAGCACTTGTGAGGACTGGGAACAATGATGTCATGGCAGCAGTGACTGGGCCTCCATCTGTCTTCTCCGAGCAGTGTCTGCGGGAGGAGCCCTTCTTAGGCCAGGGTGGCTGGGTTGGGTAGGCTGGTTGAAGGTTAGGTTCCAAAACAGACTTGCATCCCCACCAACCATAGCTAAGGCCCATCTCCCAGAGAAAATGCCTCTTTTGTGGATGTTGGGAAATGTGGGGGAATTTGGAAATGGGAATGCCATGAGAAAAGAGTACAGGTGGCATCCACAGATGTTCTGACAAATCTGATGTTCAAGAACTCAAGAGCACAACAAAGACAATATGGCCCAGGCCTGAGTCAACCTCTGTGCCTGGATTATGACATCCAAGGACTCTGACAACCAAATGGTGTTAAGTGATGAAAGGGGGCTGGAAACATAAAATCAAGGGCAAGTGGGGAGCCCAGAGAGGCTACTCGGGGGCGTTTCCAAAAAGAGACCCTTCCCTATTTCAAGACCACACAGGCCCTACCTTGCTGTGCTCAGCCACACCAATGAGCCTCTACCATGGGGTCCCTCCAACAGATGGGGCTCTTTAGCCACCCTCTGCCCATTGCTGGCCCTGGAGAAAGTTACCTCTCAGGCTGTTCTAGTGTGGTGGGCACTATTGGTGTAGAGGCCTCTGTTAAGGAAGCCAGTGGAGGGCTGGGAAGGGAGGAAGGGGTCTGGTCCACTGGAACCCTGTATCCACCGAGGGATATCTCCTTTGTCTTCAGGTCTGAGCGCATGTCACGAGCCTGGCCGCACGTTCACAAGTTTGTGGAGGATATGGTAAAGAGGCTGTCAAAGTACGACTTGATGCTGCAGGCTCCTTTGGGATGCATGGGGCGGGTCTGGTCGTGCAGAGGACACATTTCTCGGATTCGGGAGGTGCACAGACCCAGCCAGGCTGATGTGCTGGGCAGGGCAGAGGACACTGTCCATTGGTCCCATGGGGTATCTGCAGCATTGGCTGCTCCTGCTTGGGAGCTAGGTGTAGTATAGGGACAGAGTTCACCCTCCAGGACCCCTCAGGCTGCAAGGTCTGGAAAGGCAGGGAGACCAGTAACTCAGTAACTAGCACTTGGTTGTGGGGGAGGGGGGTCAGAAGAAGAGGACAGGCAACAAGCTGTGAAGGATAAAAGGAAAGTCAAGGATTCGGAGAGGAAGTCAGGGTAGCATCCTAAAGGATATGGAAATGAGATAACTTCAGTGATGGAGAAGATGAGGACAGAGCAGCCATTAAGGTGGTTTCAAGGAAGTGGGTGGTCTCTGAGGCTGGTGAGTGCCGGTACCTCAGGGGAGGGCTGGCCAGCTTGGAAACAAGGGCATGGGGACTTACTAAGCCAGGCCAAGGGGGTTAGATTTTCCAATGGGAGCCGGGCTGGGACATAGAAGTTTTATGGAGATTAGAGGAGCAAGATCAAGATTGAGATCCAGCTGAGTCAGCTGAACTAGAGATGGGTCACTGGGAAACTCGGTCAGGGATGCTTGATGGTTTTTTGAGGGTCCTGTGCTAGAGTGCAGTGGATGGGGAGAAGGGGAAGCCAGAGGAAGAACAATTCCTTGGAGTCAGGCTGAGATGCCTAGATATTTACAGCAGACAAGAGGTGAGGAGGAGGGTGGATCCGATGGAGGAGTCTTGCTTATTCAGTATGGGTGGGTGTGTATATGAGTGTGTGTACATGTATGAGTGTAAGCACATATAAGTGTGCATGTGCTTGAGCACGGGGATGGAGTATGGGATTGATTTGGCTGCCTCTGTTTCCCAGGAGCCACATTTCCATAGGGTTCAGAATCTTTCATGAAATTTACTCAACGTCCTCTGCCTACTAGATAAGGCCTCAAAGGGGGAAGTGAGGAGAAAAGGGAAAAGAGAATTTTCTATGAGTACCTTCCTTGACATCTTGATGACATCATGTTGAGGTGGTGGCTCCTCATAAACACCTGCTTCCTCCCAGCCAGGATCTGCGGGTGTCCATCATCACCTACTCCTGTAAGGGCAACGTCATCCTACCCCTCACTGGAGACAGGTAAGTGTTTATGTGAAGGCTGACTCAGGAGTGGTGTTTCAGGCCTCTGTGGAACTGAGGGCTTGCAGAGACCTCCATGAGGGCTCCTACGGTGTCTGGATACTGATATTCACTACTAACTCCAGCCTGCCAGCCCCTTGAATTCCTGCATCACTGGAACCCATATCCTGGTGCTTCCAGAAGTTTTCAACATTCTTGCTTGTCTGTCTTCCACCATTCTTGACTCTTCTCTGGGACCTGGCTATGACAACACACGGGGTTGAGGAGGGTGGAGGATATGTGAATCTCCTGGACAGCCCGGGCTTGTACAGAGCCTGATGGACCTGCTCATCCTCTGCCTGGGTCGGTGGGACAGAGAGACAGCTGGGAGCCAGGGGAAGGTTCTGGGGTCCAGAGAAAGGCAGTTGAGGCCCACTCTGGAAAGGGGGAATCCCAGAGCAAAAGCAAGAGTCCAAGGCTGTCCTATACACTACAGGCAAATATGTAGAGCATGTACCCACAGAGGGAGGTGACCCACTTGTCCCCAGAGTATCAGAGAAAGGATGTTGTTGGGGGCTTTGTGGGGGGGGGGGGAAGAGCTTTGGATGGTTGGCCTGGAACTCCATCCAGAGCAAGAAGAACAGAGCGAGAAAGGCATGATGTTTAGCATTAGGGGTGTGCAGAGGTCTAGGAAACCCCTGTCCAGGGCCTGGGGGTGAAACAGGATGTGTCCCACACCTATGGAGATGACAGCTCCAGTTCATTTGGGGAAACGAACATGAGCGTTGGCTCCAAGAGCCCAGGAAAGATCTGATATGCCCTGTGGCTTGGGTTTGGAGAAACCCCACTGGGTTTGAGTGGCAGAGAGAACATCTATGGGAAGGCTTCCCACAGGAAGCCCCGAGAGGCAGTAGGGGCCGGGCACATGGGTGGGGGCTGGGCTGGGGCTGGCAGACTGTGATATGACCCTACTAGGCCTAATGGGTGTTACCCTCATACTTCCTAGGCTAGGCTGGGCCACAAATAAGGTCTTCAGAGCTCAGCTCATGGCAAGATCTCTTTCTCCCCAACAGGAAGCCACCTTAGAGTCCCCTGTTAGTCCTCCTGCTGTGTCTGTGCAGCCTTGCCACACTGGATTATCCTCATACCCCACTTCCTGTCCCAGAACAGTTGGCAGACCCAGGCCTGCCTGCCTCAGTCAGTTCTATCTGACTTAACAGCACCTGACAGGCCATGTCGCTTCTAGCTTAGGAAGCAGCACAGTCGCCTCATGGACCGCCTCAGGGCCCAACTCCCAGGCTCAGGCTTCTTTGTTGGGAGCTTGTGGAGTCCACAGTTGGGCTCACATCTAAGTAGACTGACTGGCTGCTGCCTTTAGTGGACTGGAGGAGAAGTCATGCCAGGATTCTGTGACAGGGAAGACAGGAGCCGGGCAGTGACTCAGCTGGTGACATGGCCCTCTTCAGCCCTGCCCACCGAGTAATAGACTGCTCAGGAGGGTGACCTCAGCACCAGGGTTCCAGTTAGGAATGTGGGCCCCCATGAGAGTCCTCGGCTTTGACGCTGGCTGAGAACTTCCCTGTCCTCCGACCCCTGTCCTAAGCTGCCTTCATGCTCATGAAATCAGAGACAGAGAAAGGCCCAGGGAAGGCTTGGGGATGTCTTGTCACTGTCCGTAGTCTTCATGTCACCTTTATTTTTGATTTTTTTCAGAGAAGAGATCCTTAAGGGTGTTGAAAGATTGAAGTATAGCATACCGGCAGGACACGAACACCTTTACCGAGGACTGCGGAAGGTGTGGAGGGCTAGGGCCACCTACGTGTCCACTACTGTGGGGTCATCTCACAACGTCTCCCATGTTTCTTTGTTTCCTTGCAGGCACATAGGCAGATAAGAAAGGCATACCCAGGAGGTGAGCTGCCTGCACTTTTGTTGGATGGGTCCCCACAGAGCCGGGATTCCCTGGAAAGGCCACGTGCAGATCCTCAGGCCTCTTCCAATGCTTGTCTCATGGCCCCTTCTCTGGGCCTCAGGCCTCTGTGAGCACTGTGTTTGTGATGCTTCTGAGAAGGGTAGGAGGCCCCATGTGGCTATGTGTGGGCCTCGATCACGCTGAGGTCTTTGTCCTATAGACGGCCCTGTGAACAGAAAGGAGATAAGTGCAGTGACCCATGCAGGGAACCAGGGTTTGGTGTCCCCTTGGCTGCCACACCTTCCTTTTCCAGTTCTTTTTTCTTAACCTGTCTCTTGCATCCATGTATCAGGCAGTAGAGGGGGCAATGCATAGCCAGGACCCATGCCCCGGAGGGTAGGCCCATAGCACTTGTCTGGAATAGGTAGGAGCAGATGGGGAGAGATGCTGAGATGTGGAGTCCCTTGTCTAACACCTGTTGACCTATAGTCCTGACTACTGGGCCCACTGTTACCAACAGAACATCTTCAGGGCTGTGCCCAGAGTTAGTACCAGCTTCTGCCCTCCTCACTCGGCATCCTCAGCCTCACGGATAGGCTCAGTAGAGACTGGATTTCCCTGAGAGTACAGCCCAATCGACCTCTCTAGACTGCTTCTGACCTCTCTGCCTCCTAATCTGTAGACTAGGTAGTGAACATAGTCCCTTCTCATTATGGGGATCACTGAATGGTGGGATCTGGGCTCCTGACCCAAGTGGCTAAGGGGTTGAGGAAACCGGGCCTGCATTGGGTAGTGGGGGTCCCAGAGGTTCTCTGGGCCTCCCCTGGAACCTCAAGCACCAAGTCACTCTTGCTCTCCGGCAGGTGTCCATCGTCCCAGCATGATCATCTCCTTGCTCAACAGCCCTCTGGATGATGATGCCTATCAGTATTCAGTGGAAGAGGTGAGCCCAGCCGTCCTCAGCTGCGTCTCTTCCTTGCCGTCTACGTTGGTGGCTTACATGTGGCTCTTGTCTTTCTCCTAGGCTGACGAAGCTCGGAGGATGGGAGCATCTGTTTACAGTGTGGGTGTGGGCAACTCTAAGAAAGATCAGGTAACTGTCTAGGTGACCAGGTACCCCTCTGAATCCAGGTAAAGCAACCCTCTGCCCAGAGGTGGTCATCTCACCTACCCTGGTGGTTTGGGCAACAGGTGGCCACTGCAGCAGTGTGGCGAACCTGACAGACTCTTCCCCTGGGTAGATGGGTGACCAGAGAACTTGCTGTTTTCAAAGCCTAGGCTATGGACAGAAGCCAGTGTCTGAGCCATGACTGAATCAAATGACTCCTGGCTGGATGTTCAAGTCACCTCTCTCTTTTAGATAGAAGGAATTGCAGACAAACCAGAAAATGCATTTCCAAATACGAAAGCCGAACATCTGAATGACCTCATTTTCCCAGTGAGTGCAATGGGCGTAGGCAGAGGCGGGCCACCTCACAGGATTCCTGACGCTTACTTTTCTGACCTTGTTTACTGCTTTCCATGTCCCAGCTAGCTTCCAAGGCCTGTCCATCCCTTACGTCTTTAGATACACGGATTATATGTATCAGAGGTAAGAGATGAGGGGACTGTTGTAGGCAGACAAATGTCTTGTGTGTGCATGCATGTGTTTGTGGTGTGTGGGTGATATGCATACAATGAGTATGTATGCATATCAGTTTCTGGATGGTGTGCAAAGTTTTGTGTGCATGTGGTTTATATGGGTGTATATTCTGTGTGTATGTGTTTTTGTGTTATTATATAATGTGTTTTTATGTATAGATTTTGTGTTGTGCATATGGTACATGATATGTATATTTGGATATATTGTGTAAATACATATGTTGAAATATGGATAATTGTGGAATATGTACGTGTGGGGGATGAACATGCACGGGGTGGTCATGATTTGGGTATGGCATAATGTACATTTGGAAGGTACATGGCATGATGACATAGCAATATGTGTACAATTACTGCTCATTTTTCTCATAACGAAAGTGTAATTGCTAAGCTGGGGAAAGGGTACAAAACTTTCAATGAAACCTGGATGGAGCCACCAGTAGTACATCTAGAGAAGCTTGGTTACTTCCAGAAAAGTCAAGCACTGAACACTCACAAAACGAGGACAGTAGCAGGTCAGTCACACTGAGCAATAAAGAGAAAGAATTGGGAGCAGAGGGTATCCACTATGTTACTAGAAGCACGATGGACTCTTTGTGCCTACAAAATTGTCTACAAAGACAGCCATGTTCACTTCACCTCAGCACTGAAACGGTAGATGCCTGACCCCAAGGACTGGAGCTGACAGGGGTGCCTTCTGTCCATTCCAGCCTCCCCAGGTCAGCTTACAGAGGTCACGCATGTGTCTGGTCTTGGGAGAAAGCTGCCTTTCTTTGCCACGATCATGGTGCATTCAGGCTTGGTCACCATGTGGCTGGCCTTTGTGTCCTGCAAAAGAAGGCAGGTCAGGGAGGCCTGGGTTGCTCTGCTTCCTTCAGTCTCGGCAGCTGGATCCTGACATCTGTGTCCTCCCACAGAGCCCCATGGCTCTAGGCTTGGGCAGACAGACAGGACTATGCTAGAAAGAAGTGGCATGCACAGGCTGTCAATGAGATTAGAGACTGGATAGAGAGGTGACAGGTATGGCCTCTAGAAGATGGTAGGTGCTAAGACAGAACCTGATGATGCTATTTCTATTCTGGTTCTGGGCTCTATTCTGCCCCTTGGCCTTCCCCGCGCTGTGTAAGAGAGAGGAGATTGCTGTGTGGAGGAGTACAGGGAAGAAGTCTCCTTCCTCACAGGTTCTCTTCTACTTCTGGGTAAAGGAGTCCAGTCATGCAGCCTTCCTTCACGTTTCTGATTGTCCCATGGACAAAGACGCCTTGGTGTCTGGGCAACTGTGACAAACCCCAGATGGAAACATGAGTTGTCTCCAATGAGACAGGTACCTCCAGACATCAGTTCAACCATGGACCTGTTGAACTGTTGGCCATGTTGTGCGAACCTGCCACATATAGAGTGCCTGTTTTTTGGAGGGAAGCCCAAGGCAGGATGTTGCACCCCAAGTGAAGCTGAATGGGCTGTTTCTTATGGCTAGCACTGAGTCAGCCTGTGTTCCTGGAGTCTGAAGAGGGAGGAGAGTCCTTGGTCAGCTACCTTTGGGCATCTGAAGTGCACAGGGTAGAGGGATGGGCTGTATGTGGGCCCTGAGGCAGCTGGGCAAGGGCACAGGCTGAGGAAATCCTATCTGGCTCCTGTGGGAAGAGCCAGCCTGCCACCTACTCTGTGTCTCCTGTATATGGTCTTCAGGGTCAGAGAACATCTCCACTGCTGTGAGGAAGAGTGTCAGCAAGCAGGAACCAATACAGATGTTGGCTCACACAGAGATTCTCCCTTGTTGGAGGCCACCTGGAAATCCCATTTTAGGGTGAAAAGATAGATCCAAAAGAATGAAGCCCCCAGCTCTTCTCACGGTTTGAACATTGTCTTTACAGAATCAAACCCGGTGGTAATTCGTGGATATGGCTTTGACTTTGCCATGCGTCAAGAAGAGGTTATTTGCAGGTTCTATTTCAGTGACATTGATATGAGTTTCAAAGGTAAGTGGGGTCACTTCTCTCAATCAAGTCTCTCCACCCTCATTGACTGTCCTGCTGGACACCGGGGTACTGTGTCTAAGTGAAAAGAGCCCTGGCAGAGATACCTGGGATGTCACCTCCTTCGCTGACACTTTTACCAGAATTCTGTGGTGGTATTGTGTTCCCCAAAATATTGTGTACTCTAATAAATTTATCTGGGGTCAGAGAACAGACAGCCACTAGATACAAAGGCTAGAAAATGGTGGCA